TTTCCCTACTTTTTTGCCCACATCCCCCCCCCCCCCCCCCCCCCCCTTCCCTTTGGGGTTTGGGCCGGCGGAGGCCCCGCAAAATCCCCCCTCCCCACCTTTGTGGCCAGGGGGGTTAACGGTTTAAAAGATTCCGCCAGCCCGGAGGAGGGGCCCCCCCCCCCCCCCCCCCGTCCTTTTACGCGTCACGCACCCCTGGTCGAAAATAGGCCCGCGCCAGGTTTGTTGCCGAGCAGCAACAAGAACCCCATGCCGCCCAAACACAAGCCTCCTCCCCGACGGCTGTGGAGATGGACATCTGTCCTACCGACTCGGACAACGACGATGACGACGATGACGGTAGAGGCGACGGCGTGAGAGCGGCTTCCCGTACCGGCAAGCTAGCGGAGGGGACGGGCGGTGCCGGCGGTAGCGGCGGTGGGGGCGGTGGGGGCGGTGGGACCGGTTCTGGTGGTGGGGTCGTCGGCGGGAGCGGCTTTAGGCAGCCGGTGTTCGGAGGAGATGACGACAATAACGACAACGCTGCTGCAGGGTTAAGGAGGCGGTTGTCTCCACCGCCGAGGTCGTCGTCGTCGCCGTCGATGCCGGCGGCGGCGGCGGCGGCGGCGGCGGCGGCGGCAGGGGGTGTCGCTGACGATTGTCGCAGGAACGGCGCCGCTGGGGGCCGCGCGGAAGGGAACGGCGAGCCGAAGCGAGAGGACGGCGGCGGCGGCAGGAGGAGGAAGTTCCGCCAGCCTGTTTTCGGCGGTGACGGGGACGACCACCACCATCCCATTGCGTCTAATGCTGACGCTAGCGCTGACTCTGCCGCCGCCGCCGCTTTCCCCCCCGGGTGCTCCGGTCGGTCGGCGGCAGCGGCCTTTGTCGGGGACGGCGGCGGCGGTGGCGGCGGCGAGAAGATCACCGCGCCACCGGAGCCGGGGTCAGACGAGAACACCGCCCCCGCATCAGCAGCAGCAGCGGCACCCGCGGCCGCCGCCGCCGCCGCTCGACCACCACTGGCTGGCGTTCTCCGGGAGGCCGGTGCTCCCCCCGGCGTTGGCGGCGGTGGCGGTGAGGACGGAAGGCGTTTCTACGGCGTGGATGGTGATGATGTTCCGAGGGGCGATCCTGCTGGTCCCGCAAATCCCGGCCATGGCGGTGCCGGCGGCGGGTCGGAGAACAAGGATGGTGTAGTCGGCGGCGGCGGAAGGTACGGAGAGCCTGTTTTGACGGCCGCTGCTGCTGCTGCTGCTGTTGACGCGTCCGCCGTTGCTGCTGCTGCTGCTGCTGTTGACGCGTCCGCCGCTGCTGCGGCGGCGGGCGGGAACCCTAACAACGCCAGCCTTAGCAATACCTCCGTGATGTTCGTCAATCCGCGAGAGGCGGAGTGCGGAGGAGGAGGGGCGGCGGCGGCGGCGGCGGCGGTGGAAGAGTCTGCCGACGCGAGGGGCGGCTTGCAGAGGAGGCTAACGTTCGGTCACGCGGGGGCGGCGGCGGCGGTGCCGTCCGTCAGAGGGGAGGGGAAGCCTGCTGTTGTCGCTGCTGGTGGGGGCGGTGGAGCCACCGCGAAGGAGGCAAAGGTAAGCATGTTGTGTCTTGGAAGATGTGTGTGATGAAGCGTGTATAATGGGCATTTTGTCGTGTTGGGAGATATCGTTCTAGTACATAGCAGTATGCGTAGTCAAACTGTGTTTTCTCAAGCGAATGTAGTGTAAGAATAGTCGTGGGTCAGGGAGGCGGGACATTTTTGTGAAGAGGCGTAGATAGTACCGTGGGTTGCATGACGTAAGAGAACAGACCCCCTTTTCGCCGATTTTCAAAGCTCGACTACATACCCCACGAAAGGACGATGCCGAAATCAAACGAAGCGTTTTCAGAAGCTTCTCGACGAGACGGCTCCAACGCCTCCCGCAATTTTCGGTTCCGCCACTGTTTTCTACTGTGGGCAGATTGAGTCACGAAGATCGGTCCAGGGGGTGTGATATCTTGTGTCACCTACGGTATTCGTGTCTGGAAGGTGTCAGTTGGGCCGTCTTGGCGAGGAATTAAGAGTATGGGGAAAAGCAGAGGCAGGGGATACGCAGACCCTTCTCCTTTTCCCCATCCCTGACCCTAACCCAACTTCCCGATTGCGTTCTTTGTTGAACATGTTTTCTTAATCGAGAAACCCTGCGATTGCTTCTTTTTCAGTCTGGTGGCGGGCGAACTGTTTTTTCTCACGTGAACATAATACTTGGAGGAACCAACAAACACGACAACAGACAGGCACGTCAACAACTACAATACCGCCACCAGCAACAACAACAACAACAAACGCCAATAGCGCCAACAACCCACAATATTACAGACACACACGGCACAAATACAACCACAGAAGCATCAACCATGACCAGAAAATAACATCTTTACATTGCAGGACGGAGAGGAGGAAGACATGACGATCAACACCAAGCTCGTGTGGGAAGAGTTTTCGGCGTGGTTCGGCGAAGACGACGAAGAAGAAGGGGAAGACGCGGATGGCGCGTTCGGGGAGGAGGGGGGGATGATGCTGCGACAAGAGCAAGGGTCTAACAAGCGCTGTGAGTGTGGGACGGTAGAGGTCCCTGTGTAGGGTCGGTTGAACAGCAGTGCGGGCGTCTGGTATACCGTATACGACACAGGATAACACACACACCCTGGACCGACTTTTGTGAGCGTGTCGGGGTATCCTTGAGACCACCACGCCTTGTGAGAAAATATGGTGTCCTTAGCCGGGGGAGTGTCCTTAAGAACGACCGCTGTACACATGCATGACTGTTTGGGTCTACTGACCCGTGACCCGCGCGCCGTTTTTTTTCTGTTGGGCATCGACGGCGGCGGCGATGGCAGCGGCGGAAGGACAAGGGGGCGACGACGAGAATGACGGTGTTGGGCGACACGCACCGTTTGAGGTACGCAGGGTGGGCGACGCAGTGTAGTAAATCCCCTACCTATATATCCCTGTTGTGAATAACGGTGCCGGTGGCCTGGTAACGGTGCTTTCCCCCCCTTCCCGCCCTGGTGCTTGGTCTAACCCCTAGGGCATGCAAAACTTAGTTTCGATGGGCGTGTTTAGGGCAAGGACCCGCCGCGTAATGCACACCACGCAATGCCTTGCACCAGACCGCTCGCTGTTGTATCCCCCCCTAGTCCTTGGTCTAACCCCTATGGCATGCGAAACGTAGTTTCGATGGGGATGTTTAGGGCAAGAACCCGCCGCGAAATGCACACCACACAATGCCCTACATCAGACCACTCGCTGCTGTACTTTCCCCCTACCCCTCCTCTAGGTTTTCGTAGACCCGGATGGCTCCCTCGGCAAGGCCGCCCTTCAGGAGCGTGAGCGCCTAGAAGCCGAGAACATGCCTCCTGGTGGAAACCCTCTCCTTGGAGGCGGCCGTAGCAGCGGCGGCGGCGGCGGCGGAGATGATAATGGCAACGGCGGCGGAAGCGTTGATGGGAGGGAGCGGTGTGGTGGTGCTGGCGAGGATGAGGAGAACAGGGAGAACCTGGGATGTCCGCCCAACCCGAACGCGTGAGTGGGTTTGTTGTTCGGGGATTCTTACGATGGTGTCGGCCACGGTGTTGGTTGGTGATTATTATGATGGCGTTGGCGTGGGCTGTTGCTAGCTGAGGTGTGCTTGTTGTTTCGGACTTGATGGTGTTGCGCGTGGTGTTGCTAGCAGACGTGTGCTTGTTGTGGTATGGTGATGTTGGGGGTCTGGTGATCAAATATTCTAGTGCTGACGGCGGTGTTCTTTGGAAATGCAAGACGACCGTCTGCTGTTCTCTTTTCGTCTCTTGCGCGGCTGGCTCTATTGTCGCCTACTGCCTGCCGACCTTTGCGAGAGAAGTGAAACCACTCCCCTTCCTAGCTATCCACGCCTCGTCTCTACCTCTCTATCTGCCCCCTTACCACCGTTTTATATCTTCCGTGCCATGTTGTTTCCGTGTTTTTTTTTTTAGCCCCCGCCTTTCTTAGATTATCAACTCTCCCGCCTTTCTGTCTGCCCCTTACAACCGTCGTTTTTTTTTTTTTTTCAGGAGGAACGTGTGTGACCCCGGTGTCGAGGCAGGGGTTTTCCGAGAGCTGGAGGTCCCCTCCGCCGTTTCCGACAGCAGCGATGACAACGCCGATAGCGACGACGATGACGAGGGCGGCGGCGGCAGCGGCAGCGGCAGCGGCGGCAGTGGCAGTGGCGACAACGGTTCGAGTTCCGCGGCGGCGGCGGCGGTCGGACAGAGGAGGAGCCTGCCAAACATTGACGCCAACCATGGTGGCAGCGAAGCCGGCGGCGGCGGCGGCGCCGATGTCCCCAGAAGGCGTGCCCGCTTGGGAGCGCTCGCGGTTGGCGGAAGCGGAAGCGGAAGCGGAAGCGGAAGCGGAAGCTTGAAGCGGCGGCGGCGGCGGCGGCGGCGGCGGCAGCGGCGGCGGCGGG